ATTAACAATCTCTATTCAAATATAAAAACTGATTAACACTACAATACATGACCTATATTCATACTGATGTCAGAACTATTTTAAAAATTCCAGATACATTAGTAATGAGCTGGAATTAAATTTGTGGTGATATCATGACTGAAATGAATCAGAATGGTTATTGATCTGCCATTTAGTAAATTGATAAACAAAAAAAAAACTACATTGTTACCAATCATTGACTTATTCACTTAGAAAAATAACTTCGGTTAATAACAATCTTAAACTTAAAATATGTTTCCCTGTTATTTGCACACTTTCTAATGGCTAAAGTAGTTGTTATTCCATTTGTACTCTACAAAATAAAACAGCTTTTATCAATAAGTCTGTTATGGACTTCTCCAAGGCACTTTCAATTTTTAGCAGAACTGCTACTTACTTTCACTATGGTTTTTTTAACCTGTAAAGTCACCTATTTGTCCCTCTGTTGCATTATTTCTAATCAAGCTTAAAAAGCCCATCTTGCACCATGGCTAAGTGTCCAGAGCAGTAAATCACACACGTTCTTTTTTTTTGCTTGCCAGCAGTGTCCTGCAAAGCAAAGTGCATTTTGTGTTTGCATAAGATTATAGAAATATGAGGGATGAGTTCATAGAGCCGTGATTTAGTTGGATGTTGCCTCCAAGAAATGTTAAGTATAGTTCTCAGCATTTGAGTGTACGTTCCATCAAGCTTAAACTTTAGGGTTTTCTTTTAGTTAAATGTCCAAGCAGTGGCACCATACATTAACACTGCCTCTACAGTGGCTTGAAAGAATCTCTATTTGAGGTTGTCTGGTAGTTCAGATTTCCAGATTATTTCAATTTTATTCAAGGTGGCCTGGGCTTTAGCAATGCAAATTTTCACCTCCTTTTCAGTAGAATTTATTTTGCTAAAAGATTCAACAGATTTTATTGATTCACCTGAGACTGTATTGAGCCTTGCTGGTTGAAGCCTATGAATTCAATTCGTTGGCAGCATTTCCTCGATGTAAGAAAATTGTATCATTGGTAATGGTGTCTGCAATGATAGCTAGGCCATCTGCATAGTCAATATCAACTTTTTAGCAGGATATCAATTTGAGTCTTGGTTATAAAGTAAAAAAACCTAGAACAAACATCATCATCGTCTAGGATTTTAATTAAACAACATAAAACGTCAAATGTCTTAATTTATGTTTCATATTTATGAACAAATCACTGGAACGTTTTCATTTTTTTTCTTATTTAATTTAATTTAAATAAAAGCTGGAAACAGTTCTCATTTTTGTGGGTGTTAATTCCAGTGGAATAACACCCACAAAAATGAGAACTGTTTACTTAATTCCACCTATATTTTCTTTGGGTGAAATAATTCTAGTTTCTTCTCTCGTCACGTTATTGTAAAAATAAATAAATAAAAGTAATCGAATTTTATTGCAATTGAAAACCTCCTCTTCTGCATTACACGAACTAGGTATTTTACATTTAAAAAATCACTCAGGTGTCATGACGACTGATGCAGTTTTAAAATTAAATAAATAAATAATCTATCTATAAGTGAGGATAAAAAGAATAAAAAATGTTATGCCATTGGAGCAAACAATGTTTTTTTACTTTTAAAACAAGTAAAAATGTAAAAATTCACTAAAAAAAAAAAAAAAAATAAGAGAAAAAGTTAAATAAATATTGTTAGTTGTTTCATGATTTTATAAAGGAAAGCCAACTGTAACAATATCGCCTTTTAAGAAAATTACTCAACAAACAGTGAAATCTTCACCTAATTAATAATAATAATTTAATAACCTTGTCGATGAGAGGGAGAGATAGAATACTCCGTACTAGTACTGCCCATTGTTTTGAATGGACTCTCTCCCTCCCAAACTGAACGTAAACAAAGTGATAACTTCATTTACATAATACGCCTATAAATTACCTTTTATTTAAAAGCTGCTGATGTTTTTTTTTAATACGTAATAGGAATTGAGGGAATGTATAGTGGTTATCGCAAACATTCTGTATAACATGACCTGTTTAAAATTAATGTTTTGGTTGGAGCTAATAATTCCGCTAACGATGCTGTTCTATGACTATCGGTCTCTATTTGTGAGTAAAATAGGCTAAATATGCATAACTAGTGCCAGCCAATGGTAAGTCAGTTGCTAGTTGGATGATACGGACAGTTTAGGTGTACTTATGTGTGAATATTTACATTCGTCTACAAACTACTATATGTATCTAGTTTTAGTACATACTTGGGCGTACTGAATTCCCTCCCTTTGTTTTTGTTTTTATTTTCATAAATTGTCCTTGAATAATGTCAATTACATCATCACTTGAAATGTGCCCGACCCTGTTTTTAGAGTGGCTGATTACATAATTACCTATTTTTCTATATTTACATCGTAGGTACGAATAAATCATTTTTATTGTAGTAAACCCTAAATCAAAACGAAATATTTTTTGACAACTTGTTTGTTCGAAATTAGATTTTACAACAAGTAAACAATTTGACATCATTTGAAAAATATTTTTGATGCTTGAACTATCCATAAAGAAAGAAGTTGTTTGTTTCTCTATCACTTTTTGGGGCATGACTCTAATCTTGAAATGTTAGATAAAATCTATAAACTTTTTAGTCAGTGTTAGTTAGTTAGCTATTAAAAAGTTATTTGTCCCTTGTTTAATGCAAATTATGACTATTTTTCTTTATTTTTTTTTCAAGATCCATTTTTTTTTTTTTTTAAATCCTTCAAGTAGATTAATTTCAACAATGTTCATATAATGAATATATTTTCAAATAATTATTGTGGTTTGTGATTTTTTTGTTTCTCTATTGTTTTCATAAGTTTCAGTTGATAAGACAACTTTAAACTGCACTTATATTTTAAATTGATGTTTATTCAACAAGAAAATATGTATGAGAGTTCTCAAAAAATATATTCAGAAGCATTACTTCATTGCAAATGTTAAATCATTTTTAAATGATATTGTTGTCCTATCCAAGGTAGTCTTAGGTATGGTGATAAACTACATCTGACAGCAAGGCCTCTGATCAGGAGATTGGAGGTTTTGAGGAGTATGGTACCACCTCTTAATTGCTGTTGTTCCCAGGGCTACCCTGACCAAGAGTGGTAGCACTTGTTAGGGTCTTAGCTATGAGCAAATAGTGACCCCTCGTCAACAAAAAGTATGAAAGTGTAAAAATACCAGTAATACATTTTTATATAAAATATATTTAGATGAAGCCATAAAATTGTGTTCAAAATATATTTAGTTGAAACTATAAAATTATGCTAAAATATTTAGATTTTGGCATGTTTAGCAGCATACCCATAGAGGTTGATATGCTGCTAAACAATATCAGCCAACCAAACAGTCAACATGAAAGAACTCTTTCATGACATTAATCTATATAATATCCTACAATTTCTTAAATCAAACTGTATTCTAAAATATAATTTCAACAAAATTACAACATAAAACACACATATAACTGCCTTTAGTAATTACTTCCCCACAATCATGTATTATGCACAAAAGTATTCAATTGTGAAAGCAGGATACAAATCATATTTTTATTACTTCAGAGCTCCCAAGAAAATTAAATTTTGACATAAAATGACCAATAAGGAGTTGATACACCTTTAAACAAACAATCAATCAGCCTATCCAAGTTATACATTTGCTAAGGTTTTCTCCGCACATGACAGGGAGGCTACACTTTCAGTTACTTGTATAAAGGTTGAACCTATTGTAAACGTCCTTTTATAAGTGATACATGGATGTCTGCAGAAACTAATTCTATTCTAACTTGTCTATCTTTAGGAAATTTTATTTCTTTTAAATTTTATTTTTCTGACTACATAATAGCTAAGTCACTTGTAAAGTTAAAATTTTACATGAATTCTAAATGTTGTACAATTTTTCATACTACATTTGAAAAGGAAGATATTCAATTTTATCATGTTTTTTATTTCTATAAGATACAGATATTGGTCATTTAATGTGTTGATATATTTATCAACTCTTGATGATACCCATTTATCCTATTAGCTGTAATTGATGTTCATTTGTGACTGAAAAAAAGAAAGTTTCAACAAACTTTCCTTTTGAGACTTGTATTTGTTTTTTTTTTAATTTTATATTTTTTTTTATTGATATTTACTATCAGATTAGTAGACATAAAATACCCCTAAACTTTATTATTTCAGAAATAAAAATAAAAACTATGAGTGTGTGTATCTTTTTTTTTTTTTTTTTTTTTTTGTTTCTACAGTGGAATTCTTTGCTTGAGAATCATTTTGAAGGTTACTAAAATACATTTACAAATGCATCATCACAGAAAATTACTTAGCCATTAAGATGTCCAACAATTTTAAAGTGTTGTATTAACTAGTTTTCCTTTTATTGTAAGAAAATAATTCAGACTCAGCTATTATGAACACCCTTTTTTTTTAGAAAGAGATATTTAACATTTGCATGCTTTAGGTACTTTGTAAAAAGAAAAAAAAATGATAAAAAAGCTCAAGATAAAATTCAGAGCTGTGAATATAATATAACCATAAATATTTCTGATCTCTTATATTTTAGATGATTGTGTCAACACATGAAAATGACAATCACAAAGGAGAGATCAGAAATATTTACTATTTTATATAAAAATATAGTTTTAAGGTATGCTATATTTATGGGTTAAAGTGCTCAATATCAGGGATAGAGCGGGTGTAAATATAAAAGGGGGCATTGAACAACAACACCCAGCAGCAACAGTGTGTTTCATGCTTAAATGCAATCTTCAGGCCATATATAAATGTTTTAATTAAGTTACTTCATTGGAATTGAGTTTTAGCTTTTAGTTATTTTATTTTCAAAAATCATAGCTGTTATTTTTATCAATACCCTTTTAAAATAGTAAATTAAGGAAAGGTTAAATGTTGACATTATAAATTTATGTTTTATTGCATTTGAACAAGATTAATCAAAAACTTGTTTCTATTTCAGCTGGAGCCATGAAAGCATTGAATGCCAAAGGTATAGTCCATCGTGACTTAAAGCCTCAGAACATTTTGCTGTGTCAGGGTTCCAAGCCAAATCCACAGCCTTCAGAAATGAAACTTAAAATAGGTAAACACCTCTTTTTTTTCTAAGCCAATATGATATTTTATTTGTGTGATAATAATGAACTATCCCATCCTACCCATTCCAATACTAACAACTCTGTATAAAAGGCTGTGTAACTAGTAATGATCACTTCAGCAGAATAAAGCTTCTAAAGTTGGTATTTGATGTTGTCTATTCATTACAACTTGCAATATTAGATAATGGTAAGATGGCCAGCAAACCCTTTAACAAATATCTTTAAATATTGATAATCTTAGCTACTAGTTCTTAATGTTGAATTAAGTGATACCAGAAAATAATTTACTACTCAATTATTTATTAATCAGTTGTAATTTTATATGAAACCAATTGCTTATTAAATGTTAAATAGATTAAACTATTATTGATATAATGATATACTATAAGTTATTTTTCAGTTACACTTCTGAGCATCAATATAATTTTGGTGCAGTTTTTGAAAATTAGAAGTCACAATAAAAAATAATGTGACAATTAATAATTTAAGAAAGTAATAACCTATTTATCTCAAATGATATTTTTCTTCAGAAATAATGTAGTGATACTTAAATTAAAATTATAGGTGTCTTTATTCTAGTAAGAATAATTTTGAAATTAATTAAATATCTTTTTATTCTTTAAACCAGTTGCAATAATTTGTTTATTTATTTTACAGCTGATTTTGGTTTTGCTAGATTTCTCCAAGATGGGGTAATGGCAGCCACCCTGTGTGGGTCCCCTATGTATATGGCAAGTATTGTTTTATATATATATATATAGAGAGAGAGAGAGAGAGTTTTGATCCATGCTTGTATCATTTCAACAAATATCTACTTACTATTTATTTAAAAAAACAAAATGTGGTGTGCTAACAACTTAGGACTGATCTATTTACTAATACTGCCACATGTAAAAATAATTTCTCTACAAAAGTTAAAATATTATTGATTATAAGACTTGTTCCTTACATGCAACAATTTTTCTCTCTCTCTCACTCACACACACACACACACACACACACACATATGGTGGGGGTGCACTGAAAAGTTTTTGTTCTCATCAAGAAACATTAAAAAATTCTAATATTTACTCATGTTTTGGAAAGTAAACTTTTCAGCATTCGTGTATCTGTGTGTGTGTGTGTATAGAAATGAGTAGATGTCCCATTTATTTATTAAACACTATATTTATTTATTTTCACCTACCAGCCTGAATGTTCAAGAAATCTTATTAAAGAAAATATTGTGCCCTTTGGCAGGAATTTAACCTGTGTCCCGCAAGGCAGAGGGAGCCACTATTTAGCCTAGTGTATCTTACTGCTTGGCAATGAAGGAACAGACATTCGGGCATGCTTTTCAAGCAAAATTTCTCTTGTCATAAAATCTCTCAAAGTTTTTCCATATCTGCACATAATTTCATATCCAAACAAAGAGAATTTTTTTCACTCTTTTGCTCAGGATCATTTGCTGTATTGGACTGGCAATATGAAGATGAGCATTGTTATATAGTGCAAAACCCCCAGCTAACTTCCTTTTCTGGGAAAAAGTTTTGTTTCTATTTGCACAGGAACAGTTTAGTCATGTTCCAGCTCTTCATAATAAAATATTTCCTTTGATTCTCATCAAATACAGAACACTTTTCTGTATTGGATTCCATTTAGGCTGAGATGTCAAAAGCAGTCCTTTTTTGTTGTCCATTTTTGTAATAAATGCAGTTTTTGTCAGTGATTGCATTCTCTGTGCTGAATAAGAGAAAAACAATTGTTAAAACACTGATATTTTTTTCCTATGTTCATCTGGAAACTATTTTCATAGCTTCTGAATTTTTAAAACTCGTGAACCTGTCCTACAGTTGACATATTGCATAAGATCAAGTAAACTTTTTTGTTAGAAATAAGTATTAAAATAAACCTTCCTATTTTTATCAAAATCATTTAATATTTGTATAATGAAATGGTGTATAAACAAAACAACAATTATGTTATCTTTTTTGTGATCAGGCTCCTGAGGTGATAATGTCTCTTCAATATGATGCCAAGGCTGACTTGTGGAGTATTGGTACCATAGTGTTCCAGTGTTTGACTGGCAAGGCACCCTTCCAAGCACAAACTCCACAACAGCTGAAGCAGTTTTATGAGAAACACAGTGAATTAAAGCCTTCGTAAGTATTTTAACTTGATTCTAAAATATAATTTTTTCTAATCTGTAGCTAACATATTTTATGTAGGAAAGTGAAAACTAAAATACTTCAAATGAAAAAGTATGGAAGATATCATTTTCTCTTGTTTTAGTAGAAAGAAAATTTTTCTGTGTTTATGCCAGAATATTTTTTGTGAAATTGAACCTCAAAGATTTCTTACTATTAATTTTATTACTCTGTACTTTTCACTGATAATTTTAATAATAAAAATTAATTTCCAAATATTAATTTATTATTTATTTCATTTTATTATTTATTAATTTAAGAAGTGAATATTGCCAAACCGGTGGATGCAACAGTTGCTTCTTAGCCAGTATCTCTTAAAAAAAATGAAATATTTTGTATGTATGATTATATAAACATTCAACTATTACCTTTGATTATACTAACAGAAAGATAATCAATATTCCAAATATTAAAATGTTTTGTTTTCATATCTATTTCATTATTTCAATGGTGAGGTTAACAATTCCAAGGTTTTTATAATGTGACTTGTTATTTGCAAAAATTTCTAAAATAACCTGTTTTTGTTGTATTAATCTTGACTTGAACATCAATGGCCTTTAAAATCCTTTCTAAAGTATTTAACCTGAAGGATTCATGTTAATATCAGAATACTTAGCTTAAGTTGTTGTTTATATCCTAATTTTTTTTTACTAGTTATATTTTGTCAACTACACCTGTCACCAAAAGATTTTCAAAAATATTCTTCAGTCATCTGACCATTTATTTGGATCATGAAGTCATTTCTCCCAAATTACTCCAGAGTGAAGGTCAAAAACATGTTGAAAAACTCTGCCTATCTAAACTTGTCTACATTTTTTCTTCTTTCTCTCATAGCTCATATCTTTTCTCACCTACTACGTGTTCTATTCTGTTACCATCTACTTCCATATTTATATTGTAGACATTCAACTAGTAATTAACCAAAACATTAGTTATGACTAAACACCAATCTGCTTTTTCAAATCAGCCATCTGTGTGTGATGTCGATGGTAACTTTGTTTAAAATCTCTTCTCAATTTGGTCTTTTTTTTCCACTCTTTATTTATTTAATTTTCACGTCACATTCACATTATTTTTCACATTTCCAAATACAGCTACATCAGCTGAGTGGTACTTCAAAAATTTCAAATTTGTCTCTATGGCTTGAAAGAAAATAGATTTAAAATCTATTTATAACTTCAGTTAATCTATTTTAAATTTAAAGTGTTACAATCTATTTGCTTGGTTGTCTTTAGTATCCTAAATGTTTTCATTTAAAACTTGGATAATAAGTAAATATTATCTAATTTTAAGTAAAGTTTGTAAATTTTTTCTGGGTTCAAGTTTTTGTTTTTACATTCTTAGAATGGTTTAACTAAACAGGTTTTTTTTTTCCTCCTTTTGCCATTGGCACACTGGAATATATCCAGAGTTTAATTATCAACAACTCAACAAACAAATTTATTGTCTTTACAAAAGATCAAAACATGCTTTTGGCAAATTTCCTACATTATTTCTTAAAAGAATTATTTTTTGTTTAATACTGGAGTTATTTCATGTGGGTACAAATAGTGTTACCAGACTAATATTTTCACTGCTTTGATATCTCATAAATTCAACATTAGATGTGAATTCTTGCTATTTTGTATTTTGTGAAAACTAGTCATTACTGCTTTGCCTACTGGTACAGAGTTACCAATTTAATTTTATCACTTTTTCAGTGCACTTAGCTCTTGTAAATCAACATCTAACTCTTTTTCTTATTTATAAAATAATAAATGTTAATAAGAAAAAGAGCTAGGGGCTAAATATACTGAAAAAAGATAGATCTACTGCCAAAAGAGCGAAATTGGTATCTGTAAAAAAATAAAATAATAATATCAACTTGAGTATTGCATCCTATGACCCTACTATTTCACATAGCAGGGCAGTTGATTATTAAAATATAATGTGCACTGAAAGAGAGATAGACCTAACTCCAAAAGAGCTAAATTGGCAACTCTGGGTTGGAACTTTGTAGTATAATTGGTAAGGCATCTCCTATGAAAAGACAGGATCCCAAGGATAAGAGATGTGAATCTGATGCTTATTTTTTATTCTTGATCTACACTGCAACAATAACTGTCATAGAATGGTAATCTTGAAGTTGCAATATAAAAAAATCAAGATGAAAGAAATATGAATAAAAAAAAATTTAAATAAATATTTTGCTTTTGATCTGTATTAGATAAAATATATGTAGTAAAATCTTTAACGATGTAAGAATTGATTTCCATAGAAATGTTTTTTTTGTTTACTAAACAAAGAAACTAATCATTTAGATTTATCTTATAGCAGCAAAGATTTAACTTGTACACCTAAATTTGGATAGCTTGTAAGAAAAATCTGGCTGTTATAATTCTAGGAAAATGGTTAATTTTTGGAAAATATCTAAAAATAAAAATATAATGCAACCATTATTTTAGAGCAATATTTTTACTCTATAAAACTCATAAAATATATATTTAGTTTTCTTTCTTTCTCATCTGTAATAGCCATAAATATATTAAAATTTATTAAGATATGACAAACTTTCGTATTGATAATTTAGTATGTTTATTTGACATTAATGATCTAACCACTGAATTATCTCTAAATATTTTTTAAACAATAGCCATAAATATTTTACAACTTACTACACCCCTCACTTATATAAAAAAAATAAATGAATGTGACAATATTTACAAAATAAATTCACTATTATTAGAGGGAGTGTTGTTATTTTACCAACCTGATGTAATTTGTGACGTGAGCAGTGAAATGAGGTCACACAAGAAGCAGGTGAATCCTACCTGCTGCTATTATTTACTTAACTTTTTTAGTTGATAGCTGTAACCAGTATTGTTATTGTAAACAACATGATCACTTTGTTTTTACTCTCTTTAATATTACTTTCAGTATTCCAAGTGGGACATCACCCGAACTTAGGGATTTATTGTTGAAATTGTTAAAAAGAAGTGCCCGAGACCGTATCAATTTTGGTAAGTACAGTGGATGCTTGAAATTTTATAGTGATTTCTTTTTACTGTGTTTTGATTATTATTAATAATTGTTCTTACATATTAGTAGCCTTCCAAACATATGGGTTGTGTATGATAATACTATTCAAAGTTTACTCTATTTTTTTATCCTGCACAATCCTTTGACCCTTGTTTTTAGTGTCACATAACCATTGTTTACATAGGCATATATTGACACATGACTGTTTTGACTTTTTTTAAATGCATGATCAATGATTTTGATTTCTTATAGCTTTAAGATTTTTATAGTTTGTGCATTTCTTGTATAATTACTCTTCTGCATTAATTCTTTGTAGTCATTATAATCTTCATTTATGCTAAAACTAAAAGCTATTGCCCATAATCCACCAAAGCATTTAATTTGATGTTATCTTCTCTGTCTCTCAGCTGAATACCTTATTAGTGTCATTATGCAAATTTCTTTTTCTATTTACCTTCAGCCTCTATCCTGTTCCAGTGTAAATTTTATGTACTGTCCATTAATTCTTGTTGCAATTGTTTTGTACAATGACTTATTATTATACAAATCTTTTTGCATGCACTTGGTAACTCTGATTTTGCTGTTATAAGCTACTTCCAAAGTTTACAAATTATATATCTAAATGTTCTCTGTAGCTGATCAATAATGCTGAATATAAGATGAGGTTAATCTAGTGTCCTTCAACTTCATCAATATAGAATAATGAATGTTACAATTGAACATGGCATGGTCATGGTTTCAAATCTTACTGGTTTTATACACTTGATATGCTCATTCTAATTTTTTTTAACTTTTTGAAGGATAAATAAAACATATCAAAATAAAGAGTATTTTTAACAATGTATGAATTGGATATTTATGCATTTAGATACATTCAAACTGATAGAATGAACTTAGTATCTGTATTTCTAGTGACTTTGGATGTCTAAACTTAATACAATTCTATTGATGAATGAACTTTATCAAAATGTCATGTCTAATATAGAGAGGGCTTTTATTCATTGCTTTAAAAATTTCCTCTTGCCTCTTCCCTACCCTCTTTTGTGCATGTGTGTGATAGGCATATTGATATTTCGGGATTTTATTTTTCAGAGGACTTCTTCAATCATTTATTTCTAAAACCTCAGGTTCCTCAATTATCTTGTGAGTATAAATTGTTTTGAAATCTAAATTTAACTTAAATTGCCAAAAAAAATTTTAACTGAATAAAAGAAAAATTTTCAAATAAAAAAGAAAAAGGAAATTTTAATTGGAAAATAAAGTTTTTAAGATAATCTACTATATTTAATTTATTTTCTCTTGCCAGCTTCACCTGTTGGTGTCACTTGTCAGACAGAACGGTTCAGCCGAGAAAGCCCCCCTCTGCATACTGTTCCCTCTGTCACTTGCTTGTCTTCGGTCAGTATCTGATAACAAATCAATAACTAATAATTAAGATTCTTTTCATTTTGTGAGACAATTATTTAAAACTACTAATTAATTAATTTTTGCATTTTAGTCTGCCTCCAAAAAGAAAATTATTGGAAGAAGTAAAAACAAAATTATAAAATTGTGGCTTGTAAAACAAATAGTTAAAAACATCCATAAATTATAAAACCTCTTGCATTTAAATTTCTTTACTCTTCTATTAAAATGTGTGGGTAGTGTAATGGATATCAGCAGAGGAAATGGATTTGGCAAACCAAATTCAAATCTTGAGCTACTCTGTTGCATTCACTTTTGTATAAATGCCCTTGGGACAGTCATGAATCTGTTTCTTCCCCTCTCAGCTATGGGTTAAATAGCAGAGCAGACTTGGTTCTCTAGCTTTGGGTGGCAAATATTCAAAACCAGCCTGAAGATTGATGGTCTCTGTCAGGATATTTTGCCTTAGACACATCCACTATTGCTACCATGATTGGAATATGTTATCTTTTATATAGGTACATTTAAAACCCTCATCTATTTGAAATATTTTTAAGAACAAAACAACTATCCACTGTACAGTCAATCTTATAATGTCATGTGATGAAAATGATGATTAGAAAAACTTGATAAAATAATTAATATAAAGTTTTGACAGAAAAATTTAAATAACAAAGTAGATTTTAAAAATAATTTTAATTTTTTTATTAATTTTATGTACACTTCCAATGAATTTTAATTAAAAAAATGAATAACTGCAGGAAATATCTTATCTCTCCAAACAAATTGATTTTTTTCCAGAGTCCCCAGCAGCCACGACCCCCTTCTCTCCCCCCAGCTCCAGCCCCACCTGTTGCCTCCCCAGAAGATACAGAATTTTCCAAAGGAAGCCACGAAGAACCTGTAGAAGCTGTTACTAGAAGTACTAGTCCAATTGAGGTCAGTTAACACCATGACTTGTTTCTCGTTTTATATTAGTTATTTTTAGGCAAACTAAGAGAATTACTTTAAAGTATTTGAGATAATCACCATTTAACATTTTTAATTAATATAAGGCAGATAATGTAATTAAAGAATGTGTTTAAAAGATGTAGTAGCATTTATTCCCTTTTTTGAATTCTTGAAATATATCTGTGTATGAATTACTTGAAAAGTGACTTGTAATGTAGTGAACAAAACAAGATCTATTTTAAAATTCAAATGCTAAGCACTGACTCATTGATTTTGTTAGAAATTAAAAAGACTTGAATTTATAAACTTTGCTTAACACACACGCTAGCTAACCCAAAACAAAATTCGTGAAATTTCACACCTTGATGCGAAATGTTTTTCGGCCAATAGAAAACTAGGAAACATTTAAAAACAAAATTCAAATAATCTTCAGTTCTCAGAAACAAATTCTTTTACAGACATTTTCGCGAGTCAACGTGAAGTTTGTTAGTTGTCCAATAGAAAGGCCCGAATCATATCTGGGAGTGAATTCCCAAATGACCTTTTCAAGCCCCACAAACAAAAAAAAAAGACAGGCAAGTTTGCCTGTCATCAGAGAGGAGACAAGTGTATTAACACATCCCTTAACAAACGTCAAGTGATCGTTATTATTATCTCTACCTTTCTCCCTCACCTCTTTTATACTTGATAAACGAATGGAACATTTAAGACTGAGCGATTATTTCAAAGACAATCCTACGCTCATACATACATACATCCACACATACGTTCCTGCCTACATACACATAAACTCATTCTTGCAAGGACTACTACGAACATTTTGACAACCTTGTATCAACCAAAATACATTAATTTTATTTATAAAGACCTAAATTGATTTATCTGTATATAAATTTGTTGTTTCACTTTACAATTTGATTTTCTTGTATAAATACCCCTCTTATGGTGGGCTATCTAACAAGGCCAAATCAAACTAATCTGTTTAATCACTCATACACTTCACTATAACTGATAACCCACTATAGTAATATAGAAATAAAAATTAAAGTTTTTTGTATGATTGTTATAATTTCACTGAATTTGGTCATTTCTTATCAAAATATAGAAATTTTCTAAAATAAATTATAAAATAAACTTTTTGTATGATTTCACTGAAATTGGTCATTTCTTATAAAATAAATTATAATCCTACAGATGTTTCCCTTGTACTTAAAATATTTTTTGAATTTTTTTCTATTTTTGTAAATAGGGTTTCGTTATGGTGGAAGCTGGTTTTCAAGATGACCAGTATGGTAAGTTTATACAATGCTTTTTGTTTGCTTGCCTTTATTAGGTTTTTGTTGCATATTACGGAAATACCATTAGTAAAGTCTGGCAAATATTCTGCATTTTATGTAGTCTGTGTAATATATGAGTGTGTGCTTGTACAATTTTATTTTAACTATTTCTAAGAATTAGTATCTTAATTTTGCCTGAATAATTATTATTTCTTACTAAATGTAGCTGGATTAATTTGTTCTCTGACCATAAATTGTGAGAGGGGTTATCACTTTTGTAGCAGTCCACAGGAGTGGTTACCTTGTAAATAAAATATAAAAATACAATTGAAGATATTGACACCAAAAACTGAGTTGCAACAAAGGTAGAGTTCTTAATTAAAAGGCCAAAAATTTTATTATTGTCAACAACCAACAACAATTGTTGATTTGTAAGAACTGAAAGGAGTTGCCACCTGTTAATAGTCCTGAAAAGGAGCAAGGTACCCACATGCAAGTGGTAAGTCTTTGGAAATGTTCATGTTTGATATATTTTTTGATGAAAGGAAAAGTTTGTAGATGAAACTTGTTGGCATTGAAATTAATAATGCGTCAGTGAATTACAAGTTTCAGTTCATAAGCTCAAATGAAATCAATTGAATAAAATGATTTGGGACTGGTAAGTAAAAATCCCAAATGGCAACATGCTGAATGAAGGAGATACTGAACAAGGCATGCCATTAAGTAAATTCAGAAATTGGCAGGAAACCAAATCAAAGTGCTGTGTTGCTAAATAGAATTCCATATGGTGATGTGCCAATGAAAAAGAGCACCAAAATGTGTCATGGTTGCTAAGTAACCAACATGATAGCATTAGCCATCATAATGGTGGTTCTGCAAACAAATGTTAAAAAGATTAACATGCAAAAACAATGAATAAATGAACAAAGCAACAAGAACAAATTTAAACAAAGCAAATGACTGGGTTTCTTGACAGAAAGACGGGATTGCTCAACCATCAATCCAGAGCAACAGCAAAGAAAAGCAGTATTACTGCATCTTTTCAAAAGAGAGGGTAAGCCGAGAAGAGAAGTAAAGGCAGTGTCTGTATCTTTCCAAGAAGGAAGAGGTGAAAAAGGAAAGAGAGCAAGACAAACAAAATAGGAAGGAGGACTGCTTCACCATTTAGATGGAAGTGACTTCTACTTCCTTCAGGCAACCCATTCAGTCAGAGAGGGATCAGTACTGTTGTAATGACTGGATTGCACATAACCCTGGTGGGTGAGGTAGCCCCAAAAGAGGTCAACAAAGCTCTGTGTATATATAATGTTGTTATACTATAGTCACTTAGCTTGGCTTGTCTTCCCTACCCTAGTACATAGAGGTACATAAGAAAACCATTGGCAGTCAAGGGAGCTAATCCACTTCCAGTCGCCAAACTGGTGGATGCGACAGTGCTTCTTAGCCAGTATCTCTAAAAAAAAAAAAAAAAAATGAAACTTTTTATATCTATGATTATATAAACATTCAACTATTACCTTTGATTATACTAACAGAAAGATAATCAATATCTTCACTAATACAAAACTTATTGCATTTTTATGTTTATGAATTTCTCTTTTTGTATGCATTTATAAAAGTTTTGATGCTATTTCTTTAGCAGTAAGCATGTTTTTACTTTAGTTTTTCAGCTAAAGCAAAAACTTATAATTTAGGTAGAATATTATACAGTATCTTTGGAGCTTAAAATCTTGGTATTTTTATTTAATTTTTTTTCTTTTAATTTAAAAAAAATTAGAATTGGCTTTGAAATAAAATTTTCAAATATTCCCACAGTCAAGTTGCTCTCTTGTGCCTTATAAGTCCAGGCAGGGTGAGGGCAACTTTAATTTTTGCAAACTATGTTCACTTATTACAACCCTTGCAACTTAGTTTTGTATGATTCATGTCAACCCCCACCTCGACATGTGTTAAAACAGATGCTAGTGCTTCCAACTTATCCACCCCAATTTGCAAGGTATTTATAACACTTCTACTTATTAGATCCTCTCCTCCCTGTATTTATTAGGTACAGGAGAGTATTTTAACCTGCCTAAATTTTGGGACATGAATTTTTACTTTTGTTTTCTTGTTACTAAATAGTTTTATTATTTATTAATTTAAGAAGTGAATATTGTTATTGCTAACTATTTTGTACAACTGACATCATTATTGTTCTTTATTTAGAAAGTGTGGAAAGGATTCTTGTGATAAATGTTCCTAACAAAAAATTATTCATTGCTGCACTTAATTAGGACTGTTTTCTGAAATTATAGCAAGTCAACTTTTCTACTTTATAATATGTGAATTTTGTTAATAATTTTTAAAAAATATTTCCAGATGAAAAGAATGAAAAAGAAATTAATGATTTTGAAAGGTAAGTGTTCATCTTGTCATTCTGATTGAATGCTTGTACAAGGAGATGCTGAAAAGTTCTTAACCTAACCAAGAATGGATTACAAAATCTGATGTTTGGTTATATTTTGGAAAGTGCATCGGTCCTAGACCTTTTCAGCACCCTCTTGTAGGAGATGTAAAAAAAACAAAAAACATTGTGTATCAAAGGCATTTTATTTTTAGTTAGTGTTTTAAGAACACAATATTTAATCTGCTTTAAACACATTTCCAATCTGCATATAATTAGCAACAATCACTTTTATATATGGTAAAGTAATGGATTGCAGCTTAGATTGAGTAATTGGAGAGCTGAGCTCGAATTCCAATCTAGTTCATTACATTTACTTACATGCTAATACCCTTGAGAAAGGTATGAATCCAACTCTAATTATAGGTAAATAGTAGGACAGAGTGGGTTCTATAGCCTTGGGTAACAACCAGTCTGGGAGAAGGAAAACTGAATACAAAACCGTATGTAGTCCTGGCAAAGCATATACAATGCAGCTAAGGAAAGGATCATTTGCATCGATTCAATGATCCTGACTAATTTAACATAAATCAATAAATGTTAAATGTTTTCTTTCAGTGCTTATAATTCATTATAGTATTTGTACAAAAGTGAAAGCAAATGAACCCAGCCAGAATTTGAACTTGGAACTTGAATCCCATCATATTATATTTTATTCCTGTTTTTAAAGTGTACACTGTGTAGGCAGCTTCCATTTTGAACTTGCATTTTTTTTTTTTTCAGAATAATTAAATATATAAAAAATACAGTAAAGCTTGTTTATATAAGAATTAATTTTTATTTTTAACTAAGCTCATTAAAATGAAAATATTTTATCTTACATAAAATAAAACCTATTATAAATCTGATTAGTTTTCTTATTAATCTTGGTGTTAATTTGATTTATCTGAAGAGTGAATTGTTAATCGAATTTGTCTTGTCCTTTGTAGTGAGGAAGAAGTATACCTAAGAAATGTGAATGCCCACCCTTCGAGTGGAGCTGTAACCTTCAAGAAGGATTGCCAGACAAGTCCAACACGACCCACTTCTTTGCAAGTTCAGACTCCTAATACTTCTCCTTCATCAGAACCAATTCCTGTTCCCACACAAACAGAGGCATATCAAATCATGTCCAATTCTCCATCAACTCCTTCACCGAGTCGAAGCAAAGAATCGGCATCAGTAAGTTTTAATTACAGCACTTTTCACCTTCAGTTGCTTTATTCAGCAGTTAATATTTAGTTCTATCTAAAACAACATTATATAACATATAGTAATTACATTAAATATATAAAGCAATATAACTGTTTTAGGTTAAACATACAAGTTCTTAACCATATGTGGGCAGAATTTGATGCTACTCTGTGCATCAACATGTTGGCTCACAAGCGGATTATGTCCTTTCTTTCTTCAATTCCTTGGACTTTTTTTTAGCTGCATCTCATATTTTGTTTTTAATGCAAAACATAAACATTCAATGCCAAAATTTAGTCAAACAAATTTTAGCTGGGAAAAATAATTGTAAAATTCAGTGTGTAATTATTAATTTGTCTTCATATATTATGGGATTAATTTACTTTATTAGTGTGGAAAATGACTAAAGATAAATAGGGGAATGATAGAGTAGCAGTAAACTCAGTGGGCAAGGCAAAAAATTAAACCTTGAGTTCAAAAGAAAATTGCACTAAAATGTAACTAATTTTTCATTTGTTCTTAATGCCACAAATAATAATTAATTTTGAACTCATACTCATGACAGGCATTGAAGAAACAGACGGGTTTCTCAAAAGGGAATATTGTAACTGAAAAATTAATCATGTAATTACAATATAAAATCTTGTTCTTGTTTTTAATATTATTTTCTAAACCTTTTTCAGGACAAAGATGAAGGAAGTCAGATGCTGAAGCGGAATAGTTCAGAGTCTAGGCTGAGCAGTGGGCCCGATATTGGCTCTCTGTCACCACCTTCTGGTAAGCACTCAATATTAAATGTACTTTGTAATGTTTCTTTTTTTATTTTAATTTTTAGTATGGAGTTTAAATTAGTGGATTCAGTTGATTATACATGATGCCATGTTTTTAATTTAAATTTAGCTCTTGTACCTGTCATAAAAACTAGTTGACATTATTTAAGTGTCACTGTCATTCATTAGACATTATAGTCAAAAGTAAATAACATATATACAAACTGAATAACTGACTGGTTGCTCTTAACTAAATTAGGTAGTTTTATAGAGCTTTTTATTTAAAAAAAAAAAAAATTTTTCTCACATTTGCTTAAGCAAATTTCTGAAAATGACAAAATTTTTACCTGTTAATTTTTTTATTTTCAGTTACTTTTACAATAGGCGGTTCTCCTGGAACACAGTGGAGACGTGGAAGCACCAGCAATACACCCCCACCCCCACATCGGACACATACTGGCACGCCACCCAATATGGTTGCTTCACCTCTACGTAGGTCAGGTAAGTATTTCAGTGCATAGTTTTTGATCTTTTAAGATTAACTGTTTAGAATGTTCCAGTCATTTAAAATTATTCATACATTTTTTACTTTTCTTTCTAATCTTTTATTTATACAAACAAATCATTAAAATAAATTTTATTGTATTTTCTAGGACACAGCCCAGCATCTGTATCACCCCAGCAAGGACACACTTTACCAACTGGACCATCTTCCTTACCCACAATATTAGGTTCGCCTGCTGGTTACCATGAGCGTCGCGATAACTACCCACACCATGTAGGAAGTGTACCTTACGGCTTGTACCGTCAGAAGACCTTACCAGATAATATGACTGCTTATGCATACAATGGTATGATTAATTCTGTTGAACAAATATATTATTTGGTTTGGCTACAATTTATTGTCAGTATTCATTGTCCTGTCTTTAACTTTCTTCCCTAAATTCTTCTTTTTCTTTGTTAAATCCTGATATAACAATTTATCTACAAATAAGAATTTGATCTTAACTGTGTCTACATTTAAGTAATTATTTGAATTGAGAATGAAATATTTTTTAAATCACTGATAATGAAATATTTAAAATATGGAAAGACTTTGAAAATGGACTTTAAAAAATCATTTTATACTACATGTTTATTATATAAACTTGATATACCATAATTTTAACAATCATTTAAATACTATTAAAAATCAATTTTACAAAAAATTGAAAACAAGGCAACTGAGATTTAGTTTCATTTTAAAATGAGTATCCATCTGATAAATTCTTTATAAATATTTATAAATTTTTTACATGATAATTAAGTTTCTGTATTAATATATTTTGAAAAGAATCTTTGACTTACAAGTATATTAATATTGCTATGGTTTTAATAAAGAGAATTGTGCATTTTAACTGAGCATTTATATATATATAAACTATTTGTAAAGATGTTATGATTGTTTCATATGATTCGATTCATCTTCAATACCAGCATCTTGTGTACCCTTTTATATAATCTAACAAAAAAAAAATCACTGCAGTCTCTGAAAATCAAACTTTATAATTCTGTGTAAAATTTGAAAAATGTTCTTGCATGGAAAAGTTTATATCATAAACAAAATGACATTAATTTGTTTTTAAATTTGATCTGGTTATGCTTAATCTTATTACAGTGCTGTAAAGATATCTAATTTTCAAAGCTCTTGAAAGTTCAAATAGTATCAGTTTTTTATTTTCTTTATAATGCTTGAAAATTATAAATTTATTAATATAATTTACAGAATATTATAAATCTATAACTTTATATGTAAAAATATTAAAATATACTGTTTGCTAATAACGCTTTATTGATTTGTTGCATAAATATTTCTGCTTTGTGGTCAAATTCTCTTTGCTTTTCTTCTAAATGTAAATAAAGCTTTTTTGTGACATTTGTGCACTAATCCCTTTGTTGCTCATATATAACCCTTGTCAATCAGAATTCCTTAATTTCCACTTGTATCCTTCCTTTTTATCTCTATATTTTTCTTTTACCTTTTTTGCTTGGACATTCTCAGCAATAAAACATTTTGAATTCCTTCTCTCTATGTTTAAAAATTTTATACTTACTCTGATGGATATTTAAATGGAAGTGCTGAACTCATTCCTACAATATATTATTATATAGTATTTTTTTCATAGTATTCAAAATGAAAAAAAAAAAAAATTTAAAAATAAGGATACAATAAGATTTATTTGGTATTTACTATGCAGAAAACCAAGTACTTATCTTGGCTATGTGTTAATAAAAATTTAGATGATTTTTTTTTTCCTTCTGTTTTTAAGCATTCCCAAATGACCACATTTTTTAGAATCAGTTTTTAGTTCAATGTCCTCAGAACTGTCTGGCAGCTTCTGTGAGCATGTACACAGATGTTTTCTTTCTTGCCATCTTAAGACAGTGCACATCTCTTTAAATAAAAAGGTCTCAAACTTTTTACCAATTCTGAACTTCTAGCCAGTCATTGTTTTTCATCTTTTTTTTTCTCCTATAGCATCCCCTCCCGGCAGTTGTCCTGAATGTGGTCATGGTCCTCCAGATATTCCACCCCGACATGGAAGCCAAGCAGGGGCTAGAGACAGTTTAATGTCTCAACAGTTAAGGAGTCCCTATGGCTCTCCTCGACAATATTATGGTAATGACCTGTGGCTATGTTGCATTGCATCAAACATGGACTCTATTCTGTTATTCTTTTAGCTTTTTCAGCTTTAACTGTAGCACTTTATTTATACTTTTCCTGTGGAATGTTGTCTGGAGATCCATTTTGGAAATGTTGGCTGTTAATTTGAAATTTTTTATTGTTCTTAAGTCTGTTTTAGTTTGATATAATTTTCCAGTGACAGTTGGGAGTCAGAGAATTCTAATCTGTTCGTGGGAAAATTGGAAATCAAAACAAATAATTGCATTTCATTTCAAATTTATTTGTAGAAACTATATTAAGTTTTTTCATTCAATTATGTCAGTTTTAATCTTTGAAATTAATTCAAGTATTACAAGTACCTGAACTAAACATTAATAAAACTTATAAATAACTCTTATAACTTTAACAAAGTCTTTTAAAAAAAGCTTTTTTTTCTTTCTTTGCTTTTGCTGTATAAATGTGTCAAAATATTTGTTTTGCTTTTTCAGTTATTTAGTTATTCATGTCTCTAAATCTTGTATTTTGTGTGACTTCTTAATCTTCGGTATTATTTGAAATGTAATGAATCTGTATACATCCTCATTGTATGTCATTCATTGTTATAAAACAAATTAGTCTGTATATTTACGTAATACAAAAAGAATAATTTATATCATTTTGTTTTTTTAAATTAGAAGCACTTTTAAATATAGTCTGAAATTCTTTGTTTAAAACAGATACTAAAATCTTAGATGTTTGGCTAATCTTTTAAAATCTCTGCTACAAATCCATAGGATAGAAAAAAACTTATCTCTTATGTCTCTCTTACAAATCACAAATCACACAGCTGATGAGTTGTTGATTGATATTATATAAAGTTTAAAGTTCAAATAACCTGGGATGACAGATTCATAAGATTTGGGTGGAAGGCATGGTATTCTTTACTTAAGTAAAGAACACCATGGTTGAAGGTTAATTTTATATTGTTTAGCAGTTGAAGGAAAATATGGCTTCAAAAGGAAAAAAAATGATACCTTGATAGACTTTAAAAATATTTAGTGATGATAACAAATGACTATAGATATCCAAAAGAATTATTAAAGTAAAGTTTTCTTTTTATTTTCTTCTAAATTGTACATGTGTACTCTTTGGGGTCTTAATCCTTCCGTTTTCCTTGTGTAGGTTATCCTCCTGCTATAATGCCTTGGCAAACGAAAGATCGTTATGTTTATGGCAATGAAGAATACTTTTTGAGGCATGGTGGGCATTATTATCATGAAGCATCACCACCGAATTCTCTGATGTATGCTGCTTCACCACCCAGCATTGATACCACGATGCCATTTGTAGCTCCAGAATTAGCTGAAGATACTCTGATGGATGTGAGTATTCAAGTATTTCTACTTTCTGCAGACTTTGATTGATTTGAACACTTATTGAGAAATATAAGGTACATGGCTACATATTAAGCACAATTCATTTTTTTTGTCTGATACAAAATTTATAAGTCAAAAATTAAAATTTTTTCATAATGGTAGGTTGTGTAAATTAGTTTTGCTTTTTTCCTATTATTTATTGAAGAGTTTTGGCAGCTGATTTTGAATCACATTTTGAACACACTAACTGCCATGTCATCATATATTTATACCATGTCTCCAGATGGTTATATTTTCATTCTAAGTTGTTTTGCTAAATGTTGAAGACACTCTGTGCATATTTCTATATAAAGCAATGTTTGTGGCTTCCTCTGAAATCTTTGGAAAATGTATTTGGCACTCTGCTTCTCTTAAAAAGTTTTACTTGGAGGCTTTATTTAGGCTTTTTTTATAGTAGGTATAAAAGAAACAAAGCTCAAGGAAAGAATCTATTGATTCAACTACAATGTTAGTAATATTTTCAGAATTAATTTTCTTACCAATTTATGGTGACGTAGTTCACTATTTACCAATTTATGGTGACTGTAGTTCACTATTTACATTATTCAGACTATTGCCCTCATCTTTGTTGCCATATTTATTACGTTTCGGCCGTTGTACTTCTTCAGGTGGTTGGAATGTTGAACTGAGCCCTTTATTTCACTCACTGGGGTAGACTGTTCTAGTTCCATGTTTTAATGAATTATCAGTTATCTCCTGTTAATTCCTCTCTCCAAGTTATTGAACTCACACTCTTTGGGTCCTGTCACTGTATCTAACTAACGCCTTTATCCACTGTGCCATGTGTGTTGAGGACTTCTGTGTATGAAATTCTGGGTATTATAAACCTAATGTCTTCAGCAACCATTTTTTACCATTGCTCATATTTCAATTTTTGCTGTTATCATTACATGTTTTTACAAGAGCTCATATTTTGTTATCGCTTTTCTCTGGCACTCCTTATTACTGGTTCCCATATTGTATTCATTTCTATGCTTGCTAAGATCCATTAAAACATGGCACATGGAACTATAACAGTCTACCCCAGTGGGCAAAATAAAGGGTTCAGTTCGACATTCCAACCACCTGAAGAAGGCCAAAGTGTATAACGGCTGAAACATTGTAATAAATATGGTGACAAAGATGAGGACAATAGTCCGAATAATGTAAATAGTGTACATAATATCTCATCTCAGAAATATAGACAGATATCTGTAGTTATAAAATAAATGTAAATGACATTTATAGCATAATAATGCTTTCTTATTTGGTATGAAACATCTAATTATTAGAAAAGAACACACACACACACACATATATATATATATATATATATATATATATATATAATTGAAGTGCCAAACTACACTTTCCAAAAGATTTTTGGAACTGAGGAAGAAAAAACAAAACCCTCAGATTGACTGGAAAATAATAGGGTTTGCCCACACTCATAGCTTTAAAGGTAAATGCAATCTCTGCCTACAGGAGAAAATTAGAATCATCAAATTTGAAAATTAAGATACTCTTAAGCCAAAGGAATTAATTAATTTCTAAATACTGTCATCGCAATAGATTTGAACTTACCTAGACTCCCATCGAACCAACACGAACTGTCATAGGAGGACATTCACCTGGGAATCTCTGCTCTTCCCCAGTCTGGACTGAACTCAGTTGAACTATTATACCGTAACAACAAAATGAACTGATCAATTAACTGTCACACTGCTCATCTAAATTCTCCTCCCCTCTTTTTATACCCTTACCAATTTCCCATCTGCTTCTGTCCATATACATATCCCTCCTCCATCACTAAGTCACTAATACTTGATGACTATCAATAATATCCCCACAAAATGTTCACCTTCTCTTTACTTCAGTTGTCCTAAAATTGTTTATAGATGGTTTCTATTTCTCTTTCTCATCTTTCAGTTTATCTATTGAATTATCCTTGATATCCAGTACATATAGGCATTAAATCTCCACCTTTGGGCTAATTAAATATCATGTAATAACATTTTTCAGAAGATTAAGTGAGTTCTTAAATTTGGATGCATATGCATATATATATGTGCATGCTGAGGTATATATGGGTGTATGTATGTAAGCCTTATATCCTATATATAATTATTATATACCATTCAGTATATCCAATCTTAAGTAATCAAAATTTTACTACTATCATAAGACTTTCTAATATTTAACATATGTTAATATATGAATTTAATAGGTAGTTTTTAAAGGGTCACTTACCAATACATATTAAATTACGGGTTGAAGAAGTGACCTAGGAATATATATCTAGGGAAATAATTAATGATTATACATTCATACCTAACAATAATTTTAATTCATTCTAATTTTTGTCTTATAATTCAGACTAATTATGGTTAAGTTAATGCCTGGGTTTTTCTAACTTAACCAAACTCCTTTTATTATCCTTTAAAAATGTTTCATCCTAACATAGGGTATTTGTAGATACATGTCGGTATACAGTATATGTATGTATGTGCATGGATGTAGGTATCTAAGTGTAAGTAAGTATAGTGAGTAGAAATATTCTTCACATGGACAAATGCATGGGTATGCATATGTGTCCAAATTCCTTCTAAATCTTTGAAAACACTTCCCCAAACTTTGAGCTCTGATATATGGACGAGTTTAATACACTAATAATTCTGAATTATCTCCCTTCCATTTTACTAAAGTCACCGCTTGAATGTTTTTTTACTTTTTTTCGTTAATTTCCATGGATTCTCATTGAATCAAACTTTGGCCATGTGACCATTAGGATGTAGGTCAGCTCATCGGTTTCCCCTTCTCTCCCCCTATCAAGGCTCTCCTACCTCTATCATATAATTCCTGTAACAGTGCTGCCTTAGCACCCCCCATGTCCCTTTTAACGTCCTTCCTCTCTTTTCCCCCCAACTAGCCAGTATCCCACCAGAAACTGATATCGCAAACTCGCCTGGATTATACCAACGGATTACTACCTGTGTATATATATATATATATAATATGGAAAATCTCAAAAAGAATATTATACATACAAGAAAATAGCTGTCACCACCAGTGACCTACAGAAGTATGGTAATGTCCAGGGCCAACGCCTTCATTGTACGCCCCTAAAACTCAAGTAGGAGGACTTATAGGGCCTAGTACTTTGAAATGTGAGAAAGGATGACATTTTAAATATGTAAAAACAAATGAAACATTAAATAAACTCTTTATTCAAATTAAATATAAACTAAATTTTTATTTCACTTTTTAACTGGATGCCCTCCCAATATGGATGCCTGGGGCCATTGTACTGTCTGCCCACTACTGGTCACCACTAATTAGTGACATAGCTTCTGAAGTTAGGAAAAAAAACTTTGGCAGCCATTTTAGCATTAAAAACTTTCATTTGGGGTTGGCAGTCAATTTGTTAAAAAATTAGAACAGTTTCTTATTCTAATGCAAAGAATAAATGTTCAGTTCAAGTAAACAATTTACAACATTCACAGTTTTCCATTCAAAGATAGCTCAGTTTCTAAATTTAAATACTTTCCCCACAATCAGCTACTACAGCAATGTTATTGGTACAAAAGATGTCTGAATATTTAGGATATTATAATTAAGAATAGAATTTTTTCCTGTAGAAGATACACGTTTACAACTAGTAGATATAATGAAGATTAACTTGTTGTGGTCGGTTTAGATGTAGTTATTTTTACTTTTGATAATTTTTATATTTTAACGTTTTCAGGAACCACATAAGGAAATCCTAGGCAAACTGAGCTTTGTGAATGATTTGGTTGATTGCATAATGCAAATAGCAAGGTCACATGGGACACCTTTCAGCATTGTCTCCCCTGGCATCGCTCAGGTCAGTAAACAACAAATATTTTTCTCTAAATCAACAAATGACTTTTCATTCAAATGTCTATTCTCTACTTTATTGTTTCATTTTACTTTATGTTTGATTTTTAAAAATTTAATTCATATATTTCAGACTGATGAAAAAAGTCAAAGAATGATAGAAACTCAGAAGTAAGTTTTTAAGGTTTCAGATTTTAAGTGCATCAGTTAGTGTTATTTTTTATACCTTTATTTTTAATTTCAGTCAAATGTAATAATTGCATCTTTTTAATTCAAATGACTTTGAAGTATTATTTTACTAGTTTTACTCGTTGCTTTTTATAACACTGAGTTGCTAAATTCTTATCAAGCATGAAGATTGGCAGTAAAGCACGAGTTGAACTTGCATCCCACACCTCATATATAACTTTAACCACTTCAATTAACAAAGCCTGCTTATTAAATAGAGCTAAAATCTATTATTATTACTACATTTTACTATGTTATTTTAAAAGCTATTTGTGCTGCATATTCCAGGTGTCAGTCTTGAGTTCTGTTTAGGGTCATTGTAGTAATTCATTAAAATACTTAGACTAGAACAGTTTTTCTTTTACCAAACTTATTTCACTACTTTTTTGTATTGCAGGCGACTGAACCAATTGCTGTTGTATGTACGATGCCTGCAGCTTTTAACTTCAGCCTTACAATTGGCAAAGGAAGAAATAAATCAATCTCGCTTGCACCCTTTGACTTCTCTTAAAAACAGTAAGTGTTTAAAATTTATTTGGCTATTTTCTTTCTCTTCTTACTGCTAATACAGGCTATATACAATTTATATGTAATTATCTTATTTTCTTTTTAATTTGTTAGTCCTATTGTTTGCATTTCAGGTACAAAATTGAAGCTAGCAGGTATAAATTTGTAGAATTCTCAATGAGTAAAAGACATACCTTCTCTAACAGCTTATTCTGACATTTTTCTATCAGTCAGGCACCGTGACTGAACTGGAAGAGGCACGCTTCAGCTTAAGAAGTGGTTTCCCTGAGGTAAAAATGGGATGCAGGTTCAATTCCTGTTGGAGGCTGAATTTTTCTTTAGTAGACCAAGCCTCCTCAATTTAGGATGGTTATTAATTTCATTGTTTAATAAAATAAAAAATAAGGGTAACAACTCAAACATGTTTACCCGCTAAAAACAATGTTTATAATATTAAGAAATAATGTTGGATAAAAAATCCTTTCAAAGAGTAATCATTTTATATAATAGTTTCTCTACTATTGTACAACAATGCAGCGTATGCTTTAAATCCTTCATGTAACAAAATTTGCCATTTTTACTTTCAAATGAGTTTTATTCATGAGTCTGTATTTGTCTTCATTTCTATATCAAATACTTTCTAATTACATGTATATTAGATTTGAAATGGTATTCATTTTTGTTCATTTTCAGTGGTTCGATTTAACTTATAACTGAATAATATCTCATCCTGTGAATGTATTTCAAAGCACATTTTAAAACAATTTTGGCATTAAGCTGCTTTCATAATTGAAATATAACTACATAAGTTGAATGCTTTAATAATCCCTTGAAATTTTTCTAATCCCTAAGGTTAAAAATCTATTGAAATGTATTTTTATTTTACTTTATAATACATTAATACACTCACCAAAACTAAATTGTTGCTGAAATAGACATGAATAATGGATTTGCTTATTTTACTTTTATCCTCATTCATTTATTGAAAACACAAAAGACCAGAGTGAAAACTTTTTGAGAACAGAAAAAGGATTAAATACTTTTATTGAACTATTTCTAAAGTATTTAATGTTAACCATCTAATTAAATTAGCAGTTTTAAAATATAGTGGGCTTAATCATTTGACTGGTTTGAATCTATTTATTTTTGTCCAATTCTTTGAAGTGTAAGTTTATTTATTGTTTTTAATTACAATTACTATTAGTTATTGTCATTTTTAGCTTAGCATAAGCTGAAGATTTATCCTTTGTAGTTTGAAAAATTAATTTTAAATATTTTTGGGATAAACAAAATGTTTGAATTATATATTTCAGTTGTACAAAAAATGAATGCTCGTTATCATAAGTGTTTGGACTTGTGCAAGAAAATTCAGCGTTATGGGCCTCTGCAATATGCTAATGGACAAATTGCACAGATGTTGGTTGCTCCGGTTGACAAACTAATCTATTTGCATGCATTAGATTTGGTAAGTATCAATAGCAGCAAAATTAAATGTTTTGAACCTAATAACAATATATCAATTCAATAATATAAATGTGAGTTGTCGCTTGGTGTGTATCTGGGATTTTCTCAAAAACTACAAGTTACACATGTAAAACCATATAGGTTCTGAATCAGCATCCTTCATGGAAGGCTTCTTTCTTTATTTTTTTCCTTTTTTTTAAACTATTTATTTGGAACTACACACATACACAGGCATAATATCTTTCCAAACCTCAGCACTGTACAACAATGTAATAATCCAATATTTATCTTGGCTGTCAGCAATATGTGCACTTTGCTTGTGGAGTTTTAAGTGAATGAGCTAGAAAGATATACAGTAAATATAAATAAGACCAGAAAGAACTGCTTTAATAGATGGGTGAATATATGAAAAAAAGCATTCCAAGCAACTGTTCACATGAACTGATGAAGATTGTGTATTTAAAATGAAATCCTTAAATGATTTGTGAAATCCAATAGCACTATTATCTGCTTGATTAAATCAAGATATATTCAAAAACAATGTAACCTTTATTTTTACCATGGATTGTTGTGGAATGAGACCAGGTAAACAAATGTCAAAATAGAAATCAGGTATATTTCCGGATACTGGTGGTTTGCATACAATAAAGAGAAAATATTGTGGATTGATCCTGCTTATTCTCTTTTTTAAAAGCAGCTGATGTCATGTTTTTGCTCTGAATACAAGTACAAAATTTATTTTAACATTATGTAAACATGCCTAGGTTAATCCAAACTTTTGCATGTATGGATGATTTCACAAGACAGCTTCTGATTTATTTGGACTAGTGTCTATCTCCTTTTAGGGAATGGCTAGATTTCAGTTTTTATTTGCTACCATAACTGCATAAAATGGTATGCATACGATTTTTGGTCATTTTCTCTTCTGATAAAGGCTTGGCTCTGAAGTCTAAGAAAGGTGGAATTGCTTTTGAAGACAGTCCTGATGTATGATGATTGGTATAAGATAGACTAAACATAAAACTGCCAATGTGTCTATTTTACTCTTATACCTCTTTACTATGCTTGTAAGGAAATTGTTATTCTGTTCGTATGTGTTTCTTCATGCTTTATGGATAGTGTAAATTGTTCAAGTTCAAGTATTTTCCAGTGAAAATTGGTTTATGATATTTGAATGTTTTGAATGTTGGCTCTCTCCAAATTAGTATACCCAGGAAGGCCATTTTACCTTCTTTCCCTTCTCATTGTGAATTGTATTGAACATCTTAAATTCACATGTTTCAACAATACTTGCACTTACCTTCACACTCTGGCCTTATCAGGGATATATCAGTTAAATATCTCAATTTGATTAGCTTTTATATTATACTTAAAGCCATTTCCTCAAAGTATTCCATCTATGACCATGCCTAGACTAATCCAAATTGGCCAGTCTAACAATAATTTCTATCAGAAAAAAATATTTATAATCTATTATTTGTCACTGGTTTGTTATATATCTTGAGCAATTACTAGTACTAGTTGTATTGCTTTATGCCTAGTTGTTAATTTACTCATTGTCTTATCATTACAGTAGTATTAAGATATGACTTTTAGCTTTGGGAGGAGGTTTCTTATACATTTATTTAGTATTTGTTGCATTAAATGATTTATTTCTATTTAAAAAAAAAAATTCTTGTGGAAATTATATTGAAATCTTCAATTGATAAAGATCACAGTTCATTTATGTATAATTAACTTTATTTTTGTTTATAGTTCCGGACAGGATTGCTTGATGAAATCCTCATGAAAATGAATGAAGTAAGTCATTTTTTTTTTTTTATGTTGATATATTAGTTTTAACCATTTGTTTCATTTTTTATGAACTCTTCACTTGATGATGTAAATTATAATATAAGTATAATAGATTTTATTTGAGTCTCTTTGTAACTTTTCATATGTCCTTATAGATTTGATATTATATTGTATATTTGAACTAAGTTTTAACCTTCTGCATTGTTTGGTTTAATTCTCCTCTGTATGTTAGATTATCAGAGAAAAGTTAGATCTCAGACAAAACCTAACTAAATATTAACCTGAATAATAAACATGACACATAAATATCAGATTTTAACTTTTATATTGAAATAAAAGCATCATTGCAAAATATAGGAACTTTTAATTATTAGTTGGATTCAATTGATTTTCTTTCTGAACTCAGTTATTAAGTAATGACACACTTATATAAATAAAATTCATTGGGTTTACGAGTTAATTCTCATATAATTAGAAATTGAGCTTAGTATTAGTCTGCTACCAATTCAAATATCTTCATTTTCTTTTCTTTTAAGTGCTCCTATTCTTTCTTTCAGTGCTATTATCATTATAGCACAGCCCACATCTTGCTGCACAGTTTAGCTAATCAAGCCAAGGATACAACAGATAAATCTGTTCTCAATAAATGTAAGTCAGACTTATTTTCCTCTTGATGCTGTTCCTTAAAAAATTAAATATATATATATAAAAATTAATATATATATATATATATATATATATATATAATAACTTAGATGATTGCAATTTTTTTTAATAAGCCAACCAAATATTTTGGAACCAATTTAAAATATTAATTTTTTTTAATTTAAAGATCCTTTCCTTACTCATGTCTGTTTCAAAGAAATTGCACCTAAACTTTGAAATTTTTAAGCTGGTGTACCTTGTACTTAAGATAGTTACATACTTCTATAGCACTAGTGGCCTGCGTTTAAGCCAAAATAAATAGTGAGGTTTTCAAAGTAGGCAGACAGGCTCTTTTCCAATTGGAGAGTTGGTGCAGAATCTCCCTATCTTATTTAATATTTAACTTTGTGTAGTACTATTAAAAAAATAAGTACAAATACATAAAACTTTCAATTTTTGGTTAAAAGTACAATATTTTTTAAAAATCCTTAAATGTGCATTGCTTAAATTCATTTTTTTCATTTTTTTTTCCCAGATAAACACAAAGTGGTGACCCGCCTCTTAAATTTGCAATCGTACGATCCAATCAAAATAAGCTGATCAGGTCATGTGATATCTGGACTCTCTCATTGCATGGATCATTGTGGCCCTACAGCAACCAACTTAAGAATTTGTATTTCATACACACTCAAACTTTGAGTCCCTTGTGGCCAAATTCTACAGAAAAATGTCTTTTTGTTATTCTAACCTCCAATACTTCATTTGTCTTTCATTTCTTCAGATTTTTTAAAGTTAATTCATCATTTCTTTCATGTCACAAGTTTTCTGCTGAGATGAGTTTCAAAGTTGATCTTTTCACTCATCTTTTTCATTTTCATCTGAAAATTCTTAGATCAGGTCTTATTCAAACAATTTTTTTTTGAGCAGACATCAACTTGATACTCTGTGCTGAGGCCCAGATACAAACTAATCACCCTGTTTTATCTTTATGACTATGATTAAGGTTACTTTTTTATACACCCAAAAAACATTCTTTTAAGGCTTTGAAATGTAGCTCTGTGGAAGACAATAAATAAATATATATATATATATATATATATATATATATATATAATTCCGAATGTTATTGAATGAAGAATACTCCTATACAGAGGAAATAAGTGTAAAATGTATAAAAATAGGGACAAAGTAATAACATTTTGATCAGATCATAAACTGAGAAATATTCAGAGCATTTTATTTCACTCTTGAAATGTTTCTGCTCTGATTATCAACTTTTTATTTCTAAAACAAACCTGCTTATTAGGGTTGTTTTCATTTTTCATCAACTTTAGACTTTATTTGCTCACAACCAAATATCTTTCATGCTATCCTGTTGAAGAGGCATTTCATTTAAACAAGTGTTTTCAAAATTTGTTTTTAAAGTTTTTTGTTTTTTGACATAGTTATTTTTTTTTTTTTTTTGTTATATTTCAATTTTTTTATTATCTGTTTTTCAGAATTGAGAAAGATTGTTAGTGGCAAAATGTTTGAGATCTCGAGTATGTCTGGTGATCCATTCCAAAGAAGTTGACTTTAGAAAGAAAACTATAAATACCTGATTTTCAATTTCTCATCCTCTCCCCTTTTTCTCTCAATCCTTTCTACCAATTTGTTTCTGGAATTAAACTTTTTTTTTTTTTACTCTCATTGTCATTTAAGGAATATCAGTATTTCTTAAGTCTTATTTACTTGGTATTTATATTTGTTTGGCAGTCTATAAACTTGGTCTTTATCTTTTGCCAAAGATGGCAGAATTCTGACATTAGGTTCCAACCTCTCATCTTCTCTGTATATAGAACTTCACCTATAATTTCACCACTTTCATATCAGGTATTGGAATCAATTTGTGTTACAAATTTTAATCAAATAAATTCGAAACATGGAATTAAGATGAACCAACAAAGAGTAGCAGTTATTTTGTATTTTTGATTTTCATTACAGTTTCAGCAGAGATTGTTAAAATTATATTTACACTAATAATTCTAGTGTTATATAAATATCAAAAGTGTCAATAAGATAATTGACTTGTTTGAACATTGTCTATATTGTTTATTTTCAAGCATCTCATTTGTTTGGTATGGGTTTCATGGTTCACTCAAATAACCAAAACTTTGTTGTAATTAAAGTTATTTAAAAATTATAGGTTGAATAAAAATAGCAAAGAAAATATATTTGTATATAAATCAGTGGTGGACTCACCTTAAGACAATAGCTTTTTCATGCCTGCTTTTGAATTTGGATTTAAAGCCAGTTGGCTAATCGGCTTAAAGCATAATGTAATTAAAACAACACATAATTACAATCGGTTGTCATGCTTCATTCACAGATGTACATTAAAAAAAATTACATTTTAATTTTTTTTTAATAAATAGCAGTTATCAGGTTGGCTAGTTTTGTTGCAATGTACAAATGCTTCAGTCGCTACTAAAAAAAAAAAAAAAAAAGGAGACAAAGGTATATAATATTAGTTTGTAAAGTTTTCTTTATTTATTGAGAGGCATTTTTTCTTTGACAATATTTAAGAAGCTGCTGTAGTTAAAGAGATGAGAAATTTTTGTTGCTGCTTTCAAGATATACTTTTAATATGAAACTGTACATTAACAACTCCTTTTTCCAAATTACAAGACTTAAGAGACCAGTTGGATATTTTTATAGATTTTTTTGATCTGGCCAGTTTTTAATTTTAAACCAGATTTGAATTGAATCTCTTTCCAAAAATAGTTTTTGGACTTACTTCATGCACTCTATAAAAAAGATTGCAGCACTTGTGTCAACAAATTTCATTTGATGACATTCAAAAATTTGTACTATTAAAATTAGAAAAATAAATTTTGGTTTGTATTATATACAAACTGCAATTAACTGTTTATTTGAATAAGCAACTTAAGATCTTTGGCAAATTTGAACAAGTGATGACATTTGACAATATTGGATATCTTGTACATCTACAACAAAATACATTATGCAGCTGTATTAGTCCATTCTTATCCTATTTACCAGTAAAAAAAAACAAATATATATATATATATATATCATTATTCTAACCTATATGGGAAGAAATTTTCGATCTAACAGTTGATTTTTATTTCGAATTGGTAATTGTAAGTGTTAAGAATTGAACTAGACTTTTGTTTCTTCTTGTAAAACTTGCTATTTCTCTTGTATGTTGCTAATGGCTACTATAGTAGCAATTAGGTTTACTTAGTTCTTATTTGATTTCCTGAATTGAATCAAGTTTTAGGTTTATGAAGAAAGGGACATATTACAAAACTGTTGCCAAATTGGAGGAATGGAATGCCTTGTACAGAACTTGTTTTTTTTTTTTGTATAGACTTAATTTTTTCTTGTCTTAAGTTTTGGGATCACCATTTCTCTTTTTCCTTTGGTTTCATTGGATAACATGTTTAAACTGATTGGAACACATTTGTTTTCATTTGTTCATTATTTTTGTAAAACAAGTGAAAAATTAATCTGTTTAAAAACTGAAGTTTCCTTATGGGAAAGCAGTTTAATAATACAAAATTTGTATTTGGTTATTATGGAATCATCTCCATCTATATTTACTGTCAGCCATTGTTGAAAAAAAACCTTGACTGAAAGATTCTGTTTTAGGATTTTAAGAAACTGATTGTTTCTTGAAGGGGATTCCATATCATCCATCCAATTATTTTTGTTTTTATTCCTTCCACATTTTCAGTTTTCTTAATTTCCTTACTATCAATGATAAATTCTCATAACTGCTTTCAAATTCTTTGAATTATATGAATCGTCTGCTGTTCTGTTTTCTTTGTTAAACAGTTATTTTTCAAATGAAAAAAAATTATGGTAATGAAAACTGAAATTTCAAGAGAATGCTTATGAAATTCTATTGGCTATAGTGGGCTTCCATAACTTCTTTTCAATTTTAACAAAATAAAATAAAATTTTAACGAAATGGAAACATTTAACTTCAGATTTTTTTTCCTTTTTGATCTTGTATAATTTTTTTCAAGTTGTTTATTTGATAAATATTTAAATGTATTATTCTGCATAATCTCCACCAATTATATTTGGAAATATAAATTTTCAATGTTGCTCCAATTTTCTCAGATGAAACAATTTGTTGTAATGATTGATAGCCACAAAGAATATTTAGTTTATTACCAACCTTCAGCTGAGTTACTTGTCAAGGATTAAAAGCAAATTGGGAAGTAATACTTTTTTTTTTTTTTTAAATAGAAATCAAAGAATCTTTAGTTATGGGCCATTTCTACTGCTGCAGCACATGCTTTGTGTTATATCATTTTTTTTCTCTACTTACGGCCACAAATTTTTGAATGATGAAAATGAATTTTTTTTTTTTTTTTAACCAGGGGCTCATTTTACTTTCTTACTCTCGTCTATATTCAGTAGAGAATTGCTTTTTTTTTTTTTTTAATATGATTTGTCGTTATTGCAGTTTTATGGTTTTAAGTGCGTATGTTTTACTTTGTGCAATATAAATGTATTGCATTGTAACTGAGTTTGCTGGGCTGAATTAAATGCTTTGATGTTCTTTCTTAATATTTTAAATTATTTTCTGTTAAAGTTGTCCTTTCTGCTTTCACTGTATTGTCGAGCTGCTTCCTTATTTTTTTTTTTTTTATTTGTCCTACCCCACATAAAGCCTCTTCAGAGAGTTTCGATTGAATCACTTTTTGAAATGTGAAGCGGAATTTCACTACAAGTTGTTTCAAATAATAATAAATAAAAAAAAACTTTACTAAAGTCATATCTCAAGCAGGAAAAACTGCAAAAACAATATAAATATTTGTGAGAAAATGCTTATAGATTACTTCCTCTGAATCTTTATATTTGGAAGACTAAGAACAAACAACAATATTTAATACATTCCTCTCTCTCTCTTCACACTATGAGGAAACTGCATGATTTTTCAATGTTTAATCAATATGCAGGCTGTAATCTTGCATTCATTTTGGCCTCTAAGCCACAAACTTTTGTGATATTGTTTTATTTTTTAATTTTATACTACTATCAGTTGGAACCAATTATCATCTCACTGCATTTTATTTAAAATATCATTTTTAATGAACCTTCTGAAGCTTACTGATTATATTGCTTGCCCTCCCAACTGATTAAGACATTTTCTTGCTTGCTTGGTTTTGTGAAGCTAATTTTTGCATATTTATTTCAACTTAATCATCAAGACCCTGCAGATTAAATCTCAAAAATTCTAGAGTGGTGGGGGGTGAGTATATGTCATGTTCAGATGGACCTCTTCGTTTTCTTTCTAAATTTGTATCTTCAATGTGAATATCCCTTATACTAGCCATTTAAAAAAATATTTAAGAAGGGATAAAATATTACAAGTTTTGATTTGACAGATAATCTTGTCTAATTGTCTTAAAAAAAAAAAAAACTACTAAAGATTGTAATCTAGGCTTGATATTCGGCTTCAAAGTGCCTTGAAATCTTGAATATCATTCAAATAGCTCTGGAATCAATCTTGTTTCAAGACAAACACTTTCATTCCCTGGCTCTGAAAGGTTCTTTGACTTTTCTATATAAATGTTTTAACC